GTGTGTGTGTGTGTGTGTGTGTGTGTGTGTGTACATGATTTACATATGTATGTATATATCTATAAAACGATACAGTCAGCACGCATCTATATCTATATGACACTTGTGAACGTATATATGTGTATGTACATGTACGTGTGCCGGGGGGGGGGGTGAGAGTTAAAAAGACACGTTTTATTATCTTTCTATTGTGGCCATGTTTCCCTTTACGTGTGTGTCTGCAATGACAGAGCTTTTTTGTTCACATTCACTTTTACGTATGTATGTATGTATATACGTATGTATATAATAGTATATGTATGTATATAAGTATGTACGTATGCATGTATCCCAGACAAACAGAACTGCATGTCTAAACATGTAAAAATAAACACACAAGCTCGGAAAGCCGGGTTCCCACGGAGCTCAACGGGCGTGCGGAAGCGCTGGCACGTATGAGGCGCTGTGAGTGCGGCATGTGCGTGCTTTGCTTGCATCTCAAGTGACCCTGGAGACTTGCCCGCGGCTAGTATCGAGGTCTTCAACCCTTCCTCTCGGCGCTGTCATGCGGGCGTAGATGTCATATTTTTTTTATGCATGCATTCTGACCCGTCGAGAAAAGCAGGCGCACGCAGACCGCAACGAACTCAACCGAAAACTAAATCCGGATTTTATGCCCTTGGGACATCGATGGCACAAATTCCGGGTTACGCTCTCGTGCAGATAAGAGTCCACAAGTTCTGTCTTCAAGGTCACCTGCTGCTTGAAACTATCTTTGACTGCCATATACCCTGGCCATTTAGCCCTGTCAGTAGTCTAGTGTTGCGGTTTGATTAGCAACAGGACGCACCTTCGTCGTAAATACAAAATAACTGCCATTTTATGATTCTCAAACTAGTTCGGTAAATCTGTACTCGCTGGAGAGCCTCGGAAACCGTAAGGAATGAAGTCAAATGTACAAATAAATGAAGATAAAGAACATGCAGACAAGACAAAGGCTTCTTCTTCGCCAGACGTCAAGACCCAAGCTACTGTGGGAGAGTTGGCACAGCAAATGGCCTACGAAAAGGGGTTTCTTTGTGTGTGTGCACTGCCTTTTGATACATGGTGACGGGGTGCCCCTTCAAAGGAGACGCGGCCATCGAATATTTTCCCCCTGATATACTCACACGAAGACCACCATGCGAATAAGATAGATGTTAAAACTGAATGAACGTGGGGAAGAAACAAACACAACAACACCCAACTACACATCAACGGCAGCAGAGCCCTCGTAAAAGCAACCGCACTTTGATTATCCGTGCTGTCTGTCTGCCGGCGCAAAGGATTGGAGGTGATACGCCACTCAAAATAAAAACACGCTGACTATTTCCACCGGTATAAAATGACCATGTCCTAGGCTATGTTTAGTAGCTGCGTCACATAATCCATTCCTCAACGCTGCCTCCATAATGTCAAGTTAAATTAATAGTTAAATGTAATCAATACTTCACTTAAATGCCATGCAGAGCAGTACCTCCTATTTTTTTATTATTATTATTATTACTACTATTCGTTTGAGAAAATGAAGATCATATTTTCTTTTTCCTCAAGGCACAGTACGTGACAAACGTACCACAACCAAACAAATAAACCCAGAACACATTTCCTCAATTAATATTCACGACGAAAAGTGTATTTCTTAACCCAACGTCTTGCAGTAAAGTATTGCACATGGCTGGACTGGCACTGCTCTTGATAACCACGAGTTGAATATGCAAGTTAAGATGTAACACAGTCTGCTCACACACGCATTAAACCCTAAGTAAACAAACAATACCAGCTTCGGAATGTACGCAATTTCTTCTTTAGTTTTGGTACAGTCGCTGTTATCTGACCTCTACTCCAGTCCAAATAACATCAGATATAAATAACACAGATTATAGATATGGTTACTGAGGCGACGATGACAGTGAAGTGATGGTGAAGATGATGAAAATGACGATGATGGTAAAGATGACGAAAATGATAATGATGGAGAAGCTAGTTTGTATATGACATGAACTACTTCCCTGAACTAGATCTAATAGCTGATTTACATACATATCATTAAAGACTGATGACTTGCTACCCCTACGCTCTAATATCACTATCGTACAGAAAAAAGCCTGAAGTTAAATGTGCCTTAAATTTGCAAAGAAAATAAAACAACTTTATGCAAACTATGCTCTTACTCTGCATGCTACTGATCTCATCTTGTGACATTAAATCTGGGTCATAATCTTTCTTTTGTAAAGGTTGCCCTTATGATTCATAATAGTAAGAAGTGATAATACTGTCATATTTTTACTAAAATAATAATAATAGTAGTAGTAGTAGTAGTAGTAGTAGTAGTAGTAGTAGTAGTAGTAGTAGTAGTAGTAGTAGTAGTAGTAGTAACAGTAATAGTAATAGTAATAGTAATAGTAATAGTAATAGTAATAGTAATAGTAATAGTAATAGTAATAGTAGTAGTAGTAGTAGTAGCAGTAGTAGTAATAAAAATTAAAAATAATAAATAACAATAAGAATGAAGAAGAAGATGAAGAGTGATGATGATGATAATATTTATAACAATAATAATGAAGATGAAGAAGACTGTAAAAACTAACAATAATAAAACAAAACAACTATACCCATAACAATAATAATAATGATTATAATAGTGGTAATAGTAAAAACAACAACAATAACAGCTGCTTGATGATGAATTGCTGCTTGAAATGATGATAATAATGACAAGGATGTTGACGGCTATGATGATAAAAATAATAAGAAGGAAACAATAATAATAACAAAATAATTGTAAAACAATAATAATAATAATAATAATTATGATAACAAAAATACAAATAATAAGGTAATAGCAATAACACTAATATTCATAATTATGGTAATAAAAATAAAAATAATATAGTAATAGCAATAACAACAACAACAAAACAACAATAATAATAATAATATTAATAATAATAACAATAATAATAATAATAACAATAAAAATAATAATAACAATAATAATAATAATAACAATAATAATAATAACAATAATAATAATAATAATAATAATAATAACAATAATAATAATAATAATAATAATAACAACAATGATAATGGCTATAGTTTGTTTTGCATATTCATTCACATATTCATACATACATATAAACCACCCTACACCCACCTTTCTACCTACATCCACACCTCCACACAATCCCTTCTCATGCCCCCCCCCCCCTTCACTCAGCACACACATACATCTTCCTAATAAATAAATAAGTAAATTAAAAATACTAAGTTCACAACAGTTACCTCTCTCTTACAGCATTTAGTGACATCTCAAAATTTTAAGTAATTTGGGAATGCACCCACAGTTATTCAAAATTTATATAAAGAGGCTTGAACTTTCCCCTGACCCGTGTGACAATAACAAACATTCAATTAATTTCTTAATAATTATCATCACATGAACCTGATGTCAAAATGTTGCTCTGAAGTGATTTCCTCTTCAATTTTTTTTTAAGAATGAATTTAAAAAGATCTATACAGTAAGATCTATACAGTAGGAGAAACTTACTAATATATGCTTTGATAAGTAAAACTGGTTACTATAAAAAAGATATTGTATCAACAAATAATTTTCAATATATACTTTCTGGAGTATACTTCCTGATATTTTTTTTTTATTCAGACACTTACATGAGGGTAATTTAAAATGAGAAACCGGTTCAGAGAATTAGAAGGCAAAATTTTACATGATATTGGATTTTGTTTTTAAGATATCTACTAAACTGCAGTTAGGGAGTGAATCAGATTAATAACACTTTCATGTTACCAACAGAACTTTAGTTTTAAGAAAAATAAATGTGGGAAGATCATCCATTCCTCTCATCTGTACATCATAACACCTGTATATATATGAAGCAGAGGGTATGCCACTCTAACACCATTTTGAGTTCACTGCTAGCCTACATGTGAAAAAGATACTTATTTCAGTTCTTCAGCTAACCTTATGCAATCTTTGAAAATGGGTAGTAAAGTTGATAATAACAGAGGGATTTACTCTGAAATTAAATATTGTGAGAACTGCATTGTCATTACTAAAACTGAATGCAAATGCTTTGCAACACATTTTTTTGTCAATTCTTTCAAATTCTCAACAGGGTAATACATATATTTCCGGTTCATGCTTTGACAAAAAATAATAAAAAAAATAATCAAGATAGTCAAATAGAGAATCAACTATGTGCAGATAAGATAAGAAAGTGTCACATGAGTATCTTTCAACTGTCATGTACCTGGAATTTCACCTATTTAACCATCAGGTCCGCAACGAATCTTCAATCTAAAAAAAATAACTACAACAACTCTCCCAAACTTTATTCTGAAACTAATTCACGTGCCAACTCGGAACATATGAGGACGCGAGACCAAAATTTCTTCTGAAGGTGCAAACATTTCCTTCTAGATCTTAGGTCACTCGGGGCTTCCCTTGTTCTCACGAAAACGAATATATTTTTACTTACTCTTTAACCACAAAAAATGGATCCTCCAAAGTCATGTCCACATGCGTAGAACAAAGAGCTAGATAATGTTCCACTGATATCACATACGACACTGAAATGGAAGGTGCTGATAAATGTCCTTTGATTGGCAAGATGTAAACATTGGATTGTTCCAGTAATGTTTACGGTATTTTAAGATTAACAAAATTGTGTAGTAAAATAAAAATAGCTTTAGAATAAGATTTTCTACTTATTCGTAAATGTTGAAAAACTTTATTCTGAAAAAGTTACGTAAATTATAAAACGTCTATTTTTATAAAGTCTTTACGAACGCTATCAAATTTACTACCAGTTTCCCGCTTTCTATAATGGAAATAACAATTACAGAGAACGGAAAAAATTCCCGCTTTCTGTAACACATAAAAATAGAGAACACGAACGAATTTCCCGCTTTCTATGACATGTAAATGAGAGAAAACGGACGGATTTCCCGCGTTAAATGTAAACATCGAGAAGTCGTGGCGGAGATCGGCGGAAGAGGAGCAATTCCAGATATTTATTGAATTATCTGGAGATTTAAACGTGAGATTGCTTTGAAAATGGCTGATTCTGAAGGAGGTAAGGTCTTCCGACTGCGGAATTGTATAAATTGTGCCAGAAAGGTTCCTATTGCTTATTTTATTGATAATAATCTGTATTGGCCTTTTCGCACGAAGACTTCTCGATAGAGTTACTTTAGGCATATTTATAAGAAATTTTCACAAGGTCCAGAATTATGATTAGTTTATAGTAGCAGGTGTAGAGAGGATTTCATTTCTATGGAGGCTATGCAGATATTTTTTTCCCTTTAATTTAATCTCGCCGAAAAGATCTGGGAATTTAAAAAGGTAAAAGTAATGGAATCCGAAAATTAGTTTTGCTAGAATATTATGAATAAACTTTATCCTTAACATCTGGAAAATTTTACTTCTTTTTAAATTAAGGGAAATACTTAATACTGAATCAAATGGGTAACTTTTGAAAAGGAATTTAAGATCTGAGTATAATGAAATCCATAGCCATAAAGAACACGCAAAACAACAGTACTATTATACATAAAAAAAAAAACAATCCACTGAAAATTAAGCTCAGGCTACAATCCTATATCAAAATATGCAAATCTTTGGTAAAGTAGCCTAGTCTATGGAATCATCACTATGATTATTTTTGCATAATGGTGCATGGAGACTTTTGTGGGAATTTTTATTCAAATTAGGAATCGATCTAAGCTCGGTTTTTGCTGGAACTTGAAGCTTGGAGACCACAGCATTACTTCATGTGATCCTATTAATCTAAACAGATGCCCAATGAATGCAACCTGGGCATGGGTTTAGTAATCATAAGTGCATTAATATCTTGCCAATATTTCCAGAATATGATTTGGATTCTCTTGCCGCTATGTTGGAGGACGATGACATGACACCACAGGAGGAGAAAGAGGACTTGGATGCTCTTGCTGGACTCCTAGACGATGATGATGACCTTCCAGGGACATCAAACACCTCCATGACACAACCCAGTGCTAGTGCAGATTCACCCAAAAATGCCAGTATGGTGGAATTGGGTTTGGTCATGTCTGATGATGAGGATGAGGCCAAAGCCCCTCCCCAGAAGGCCAAGTCAGGCTTTGGTGCTGCATTTTCAGGCTCCAGATTTTCCAAGGGTGGAACAGACAGATCAGAAAAGCCCAAAGACTTCGATCCACTGGAGGCCGAGCTGAAGCAGATGGAGGAACGCATGAATCTCCTGAGGGAACAGCTTTCCAAGAAGAAGAAATTTGATCACAAAGGTGAAGACTCAGGAGCCAGAAGATTCACAAAACTAACCAACGTAGCTCAAGAACGCAGCCAGGTCGTAAGGACTCTCTCTGACAAGGAGGAAGCGAAACTGTACCAGGGACTCAAGAAGAAGAGTTTACTGCATGGGGGGGAGACTGATTCCGAAGATGAGGACGACAACAGAAATCCCTTTGAGCAGCAGTTGAATGAGTATGGTCGAGATATCAAGAAACGCATTGCACACTCCTCAGACGAGAGGCCAACAGACTCCAGAAAACAGGAAATCTTGAATAAGATGAAGAGTCCACCTGCAAAGAACCCCGGGTGGAAGGAGCTCAGTGGGTCTCTAGTGTCCTTGAAGAGCGGTGGTATGCCGACCCCTGAAAGTGAAAAGAACGTGTCTGTTGACAGGTTTTCTGGGATCAGGATTGTGTAAGTGTGAGGCATTCATAGAAGTGTTATCAAATAGTTACCACTTCCTGCAGTTTTTTTATATATATCTTTTATTTTTATTTTTTTGTCTTATGATTACATTTGGACATTTGTGATACATGCAATATGTAAATTCTAGTTTAGTTTGAGTGATTTACTAATTTTCTTATTACTAGTACATCTTATATTATCAAGATTATAAAAAGCATTCATTACAAGGTATTCACCATTTCCAGTAACCCCCTGGTATCAGGAGATGTGATGGCCGAGAGAATGGAGGGACGAAAGATGGTTCGCATGTGTACCATCAACCTGCATTTGAGAGGGGGAGAGATTGAAGGCGATTGGGTTACCATTGGAGTTCTTGTTTCAAAAAGCCAAACCAAGACATCGCAGAAGGTATATGAGTTAAAAGACCATAGATATTTTCAAATGAACATTTTGACTAACAGAGACCTAACTTCATTAAGACCTTGTGACAGAATAATGGTTTCAGATGGAAAAACTAAATTACTGAAACTAGGTAAACCTCTTGCTTTCCAAAAAGAAAAAAATATATATGTGTGTGTTCTATTTCAGGGGTCACAATACTCCATATGGAAACTGAGTGACCTTTCTGACTGCACAAAGACCGTGGGCTTATTCCTTTTCTCTGGAGCTCACAAGCATTTATGGAAAAGCAGTGTTGGAACTGTGGTGGGCCTTCTGAATCCTCAGATTATGAAAGACAGGTAAAGTGTGAATGGTTTTGGTGTTATTTGATAGGATAACATTGCATCTTCAGAGGTTTATTTTCGTTTATCTGTGTTTCATTAACATTTCAACAAACTGATCAAAAGTGCATGGCATTGGGCTCTATTAAAAGCATCCCCTCATTTGTGAGTTTTATGACATACTGATAATATTGTGTTGTATTATTTCAGACAAGGTGACAAGTGCACAGATTTGCTTACCCTCTCTATTTATGATCAAAACAAAGCAATGATTATGGGTTCTTCTAAGGATCTGGGATGGTGCAAAGGCAGGTCTGTTCTGAGAATCATGTTTTGGAGAGATTTATGTGAATATGGCATCACAAAGACTCGGGTCATATATTTTCAACCTACATGTAAATCCTTAATATATAGAAATGGGAATTTACCTTTATACTATCTATTTTTACAGAACAAAACAGAATTCCCAGTGCAGAAATTTTGTAAACAAGGCTTCATGTGAATTCTGCATGTTTCACATTCAAAGGGAGTATCAAAAGACATCATCCAGGCGTGCAGACATCCAGTCATCCTTCACTAGAGTAGATCCAAGAGCCAGATTACAAGAAAAGATCCTTGGCAAAGATCAGGTGAGCATAGGGCTAGTCCAACAAAGGATTGTGAATATTCAGATTTGCCAGTTTAGTTGTTCAAGATGTATGGAAGGTGTGTGTTCCATATTTTTCATTAAATTTAATCACTGTCATCATAACAAAATAATTTTGTCAGCAGAAAGTAAGTTTTAAATTCAGTCATTGCCATGACTATGATATTTTCTCTGTGAAATTTGTTTATACATTCTAAGACCTCGAATTTAATCACTGAGAAGGCAACAAAATCATTTTATGTGTTTGTATTACAAGTTTTCTGCTAATTTTGTTGCTGATGATAACAAACCCTTTTATGGTGGATGCATCTTCACAGGTTTTCTATGGTGGGCAGTTGTACTCTTCCCCAGCTCCAGGAAATGCACCGAAACAGGCAAAAGCAAATCGAGGGAAGGACTTAGCCACTCTGAACTCTCTCAAATTGAAACTGAAGACAAATGAGCTGAAGGAAGAAGACAAGAAGAAGTCTTTTGTTCTGAAACACATGAGCAATGAAGAAATCAGTGCAGTTCAAAGGGTTGCCAAAAAGAATGAAAGTCTGTAAGTAATGGTCTGTTGATAAGTTATAAAACTTTAAGAAATGTGGTTTAACTTTATTTGACATAAAATTTCTATTCATTTTACTTTTATTTTAATTATGTGGATAAGATCTTCATTGGGAAGGAAATACAGTGAGTTTTTTATAAAACAGTTGGATATTAATATGTAATAATTTACAGGAGTGAAATGCTTCTAGCACCAACACCAGGGGCACGCAACCTTTTGTGCCACATGGCCAAAAAAAATACACAACAAAAAATAGAAACCGGTGAAATTCGTAGTGTGTCAGCCAAGGAACTACTTGCTATGCAGCATAAACAGATGCAATCATTAAAGAAACAGGTAAGCAAAAGTACAATTTTGTTAAACTTTGACTTATTTAAGTTTCACTTAGGTTATATGTTAAGTGTATATCATGCTTGCATGATTGCAGAATACCCATACATGAATAATCTCACAAACATGAGTTCAGCTAAGAATGATATGCAGTTTTCATAGAACTGAATATCATATAATGTATTACAGAAACAAGGGCTGAGTCAGGAGTCACTGCCTTCAGCCAAGAGCATGCTGAGCCAGCAGTCATCACCCTCAACAGGAAGACCAAAGCTCTCAGCCTTCCCAGGTCCATCCACTCCCATGCTAGGTCGAGGGCTTCAGCCAGGAGAGGAAGTGGAGCTCGACTTTACATCACCTCCAAGAAGGCTAGATCCCGCGAAGGTAAGATTCTGTGAAGTGTGGTTAGTGCTTAGATTTACAATACAACTTCTATTTTTAATTTTACCCTTTTATATTCTACTTAGCTGGTAAGCTGTTGTGTTAATGATCCATTAATTAAAATGTTTATTTCTTCCTGACTGGTTATAGTATTCATCAAGTAAGGAAAGAATGATGAACAGTGTTCAATATTATTTCCCTATTGTAATATCAAAAAACATTCATGCAATTTTAGTATACATCTGGTATGAATATCGACTGCCTTATTTCTGTAATGGTAGATTAGAACAGGAATACACCTTTGTCATATTCTTATTCATCTTATCATTTCTCTGTACATTCATAGGCAAGAGCATTAGCCTTAGTGCAGAAGAAGGGAGGCATTGAGGCATCAAACCGAAATGAGGAGAGGAATGCAAGAAAGTCTTCAGACCAAAAGTTCCAGGAGAAAGTGAGGAAGAGACTGAATACCTCTTCTGATTCAGAGAGTAAGGATTCATGTCCTTTGTATTCATTCACTTGCAAGAACAGGTCACAGTAATAGTGTGTCTTCACGAATAAGAAAATATTACAATACATGACATGGGAATTTGAGAACTGTTTTTTATAAACCATGTATTCACATTTGGTTTGAAATAAAAGTAAAATAATTTCAATTCTTTTATCTCTCTCTCTTTCTTTCTTTCTATGTAAGAACAAATGTGTAGTTGCTTACACAAATAATTCTGTTAAATCACATTCCAGGTGTTGAACAACCCAGTAAAAGGTCAAGGTTAGCTGAAGCAGTGTCTTCATCCTCACCAAGGTCAAAACTAGGATCCATTGATGTCAACTCTGATAAGTTTAAGGCCATGCTTGAGCAGAAGTCAAGACACACCAATCTTATAAATGTAAGTGGATTTTCATTCAGCTTTTGATATCAATCTCTGGTTTCATTGATTTGAAAGTATGTTTTATTTATTTTTATTTACTTACTTCAGTTGGTCTCATCTTCTGTTTTCTTCTGTTTTGTAGGCAGTAGAGGATGAAGCTGTAGAGAAATATTACAAGAACTTAGAAAAGAAGGAGATGCTTGAAGATAAGATGGCCTCCATTATGGAAATACCAACCACGGCGTATGTGTGTCTACAGGTAAGTAAAGCTTATAAATTTCCTTGCCAGGGAAAACTTTGCATCTGCCTTCCTTACCATGGTAAGAGGGGTAAAGGGTTATTATTATAACAGGATTTATTATATTTCTGTACTCCTACCCTGCTGTTTAAGATGGGGTTTGACTTTGTATGACATATTTGCTGCACAAAGAACTTAATAAAATAAGATTATACATGAATTCTGTAACAAAATTTTAAAGACAGTTCAAATGAATAATAATTAATTATGAAAAGTTCTATTGAGTATATTTTTATATGAGGAGTACTAAATAGAACCAAAATATACTTATTACTTATAAAGAATTAAGTACTGGTTAATATATCTGGTGCTGGACAGTTACCTTAGCCCATGGTGTCAAAGGGAACTGCACATCAGGTAAATGTGTCTGCTGGTTAAGGGAAAAATCAGCATCCCAAAAAACAGTTAGCCTCCTTACTATACTCTTGGCTGTGCATAAAAGATACTGAGGCCCTCAAAAGTAGACTTTAAGCCTACTTTTGAAGGAGTTTCTCCCTAATAACTGCAGCCAGGGCAAAATAATCACTTTACTTGAGGTAATGACATTAACCCAATGTGAGGGATAGTCTGCCTTGATGTAATACTGATTCATGCTATTGTGTACGAGTTCAAAAACATCCATACTACACATAATAGTAACTAAAACATCTTTCCAGTGCAAGTACATGGCCCAGTCAGCCTCAGACATGTGTCGAGAAGAGAACCACCCTCTGAAGACTGTGAAGGCAAAGAAGAGATTCTTTGAATGCAAAAATTGTAAAAGAAGAACATCATCCCTGGACAAGCTTCCAAGAAATCCATGTGGCCATTGCAATCACAGTTCATGGCAAAGATGTGCAATGGGCAAGGTAACTTTTCTTTGTGTTTTTGTTGCTTTCGTTAGTTTGGTTGTTTCAAGTAATATTACACTCTTGATACTTGTTTCATTACATTTAAGTCATTTTTTTTTTCAGAATTCAATTAATTCCCTTAAATTACACCAACTGATACAATTTAGAATGAAACTTGTTTCCAGTAAAATACTTTAATATGTTATTATTAGTGTATTTATAATGCCTTCTTTCACTTTCAGGCTAAATCTGGACCAAAACTGGATTCAGAAGTTTTGTCTTTAAGAGGAGATGAACTAGCCCATTACAGCGCAAGCAGCAATCAAGTTTATCTTCATATTTAGGAAAATTGAATGACCAAAAATGTTTTAGACTTTAATGAAACCTAACACCAGAGTTAATTGATTTAGAAGAAAAATACCCAGTGTACAGCTGTGAAAGTGTTGTCTGGGTGTTTAAAATTTTGTGACATGTATCACACAGATACAAATGTTTTATTTATTTTTAAAGGATATTTTTTAGAAACAAATGGTGCCTTTTCAGCTATATATTTTATTAATAGTGTTTAAATATAAAAAAAAAGAAAAATATGCATCAAATCTTTAATTTCCCTTTAACCTTTGTATTAAATGCAAGTATAAATTTCTATAATTTGGTGTAATTATTGTGAGCATTTTTATCATTTGATTTTCCAATACCTCATATTATAAAGTCTGAATTTCTAGAAATATTCCTTTTTTTTATCTATTTTCATAAGTAGCAGTAGCAATATTTACTTTTCATGGTTGCTGTTATAATTTATTTTTTAGTAGTATTTATTACAATTTTTGCTAATATCTGCTATGTATTATTTACCACTGAAGTTCTCATGTTTGACAGCATTATCTTTATTACACTATTTTTTATGCACAAGTATGAAATCAAATGTGGGTCAGATGATATATTCAGATATCAGTGTCCAACTAAATTTTCTTCTGTTGTATCTATATACAGGATATCACAGCTTTTCAAAGACTACCTATGAGACTTGTATTTACACAGCTCTCTGAAAAAAAAAAGGCTGATAATTTTGAACTAGCCAGAATATTTTTTTACATGTATCTAGGGCTTGTTGATATACAAGTATTTCAGAAAGCAAAAAATCTAAATCATTTCTTTAACTAAGAAATTTACTTTTCTCTTTTACATGAACTCTGCATCTTTGTTTAAAAACCTGTCTACATGATGAGGCAGTGTCTCAAGACTTGTCCACATGATACACATGTCTGCATGCACAAGCAAGTAGCCTGCCTGTAGACCTGCTTATGTATGGAGGCAATCCATCAAAGTGCCCAAGCTGAATCTCAAGCCGATTCACCAAAGTGACTTGATTGTAAGGCCAATGCATGACAAATTACCATATGGACCCTAGGGGATATTTATTTATTTATTGACAAATTTCTGTCATGTCAACATCTACGGTCATTAGTGGTGTAATCTAAATCTAAATATAGCGATAGAGTGGGGCTTGGGGGTAAAGAGGTTTTTTGGTTCACAAGGTAATGTTTGAAGACTTTCAGAATGGTCAATAGTCTAAACAACCAAATGTGCCATACATCAAAGGTCACACAACATTATGACAAAGTATTGTAACGAAATTGGTAAATATGAGTAAACGAATAGAATAAGTGGACAGAAAGAAGGGATGAAGAAAAGAAGGAAAAGGAAAGTAGAAGAAAAGACCATGCAGGTTCTTTTCTTCTCCTTTCCTTTCCCTCTTCTTCATCCTCTTGTTCTCTTCACTTAGCCTAATCATTAACTATTTTTTTTACATTTTCCCCCACAATACTTTATCATTATGCTCCCTACTCATCCCATTTGTAACATTTACCTTGTGCTATACCTCATCTACTCCCATCTCTACCTTTATCTCTACCATACTACCCTCTAGTAATATTCAACCTGTAACTTTACCCTAATCATTAACTCATTCCTAATCCTTTTTGCTGATATACTTTTCCATAGCACTATATAACCTTTGATATCATATAGCACTTCCTTATTCAGGGGCTTTGCCACCCAGCTTCATGCTATGAATATACTTTGAATACACCACTAATAACCTTAGACGTTGATGCAGAAGAAATTTGTCAAATAAATAAATAAATAAATTTTGGTTCACATGACAATGTTTGAGGATTTCCAGAATGGTCAATGGTTAAGACAAATAAATGTGACAGACATCAAAGGTCACACAGCAATATGACAAATGGTTTGTTAATGGTAAAAAGCAAAATAAATATGCTAGATACCTAAGGTCATGCAGCACTATGGGATGGTATAGTATTAGAAAAGGTAGGGAAGTGGGTTGAGCTAGTAATTAGTTGATTTACATTAACAGTCTAGAGTAGTATTGGAAAGGTTAAAGATGGGTAAAGGTGGAGATGAGTGAATGGTTTAAAGTAGGATTAAGGGGGATTAGATCAAGTGAAGGATATGTATACATTTAAGGAAGAACAGGTTGTCAAAGCAGAAAGTGTGGGATTCTGTAAGGATGTCTGACAGGTTGGGAGGATAGGTGCAGGAAAGCAGTGGTACGGGCAGCAGTAAAGCATGGACAGGACAACAGAATGTGTGGAACTGAAAGAGGAATGTTATATAGGGAACATGAGGAAGGATCAGGACATGACATCAAATATGAGTGTGTTAGACAGGTGTGTTCAGTATAGTGATGGCCATCTCCCAGCGTCTGTTCTGATGGAATGGAGCTAACACAGAGGAGATTGATATTTTTACAGTATATAATTTATTAGTGCAAATACTTGACCAGACTACCATCAGGTAAGGAAGGTCTTAAAGTAGGGGGTAATAATCCGTGGCTGGCATACATGGTTGGTGTGATGTGGACATTATGACAAAGTCTTGTGGCGAAAAGGGTAAAAATAGGGTAACAATTAGGATAAATGGACAGAAGAAGGGATAAAGAAAAGAAGTAAAAGGAAATGAGGAGAAAAGACCATGCAAAATTAGATGAGTTGATGGCTGATTTATTTATTTACTGAAAATTTTATGCTGCATCAACATCTAAGGTTATTAGTGGCATATTCAAAATATAGTGACAGCGTGAAGCTTAAGAGCAAAGCCCCCAGGGTAGGAAATGCTATATGACATCAAAGGTCATATGGTGCTAAGGTAGAGTATGAAAAAGGGTTAGGAATGAGTTAATGATTAAGGTGAAGTTACAGGTTGAACAGTACTAGGGGCATAGCATAAGGTAAAGGTTGTTAGAAGGGGAAGGACTTAAGGGAGTAGGGAGCATTATGATAAAGTATTTTGACAAAAAGGGCAAAAATGAGTTTAATGATTACGGCAAGTGGACAGAACAAGGGGATGAAAAAGAGATAAAGAAAAGGAGGAGAAGAAAAGACCATGCAAAATTAGTTAAGGTAAGGGTTGATGACCAAAGTAGGGGTGATCCCCTCAACGAGGGCTGAGGTCAAAGATAGGAGTGATCCCTAACATTGTTTTATATATACATAAAAAATAAATATACATGTCCCTAGTCATTTCTATGATACAGCGTTATACTCATGATCCTTTTTGTACACCATATTATTGCACTGCCAAAGCCCCACTTGGTAATTCCTCTTACTTTTGCCAAGTACACATTTACAGACAGATGAGAACTGCTCATTTATGTAGGCAAAGTTTAACTCTCATTTATGCAAAACAGATTAGCAAAGAGCCTCAGATTCCTACTGTCTATGCTCAAACTAATTGTAGCACAACCCTAGGAAGTAAAAGCAATTAGCTCAGCAGTCCACACATTAACAATCAATAATAATAATAAATTATAACTACAATATCAACTTGGCAGAGGTAGTGAATTAGATGCCATTTAAAGGTTAAATTACCAAAAGACTTAATTATGTAAATCAAGTCTGCACATTTTATACATAAATATTTTGTTGTATAAAAAATAAATGGTATATATTTTTCATAATTAAAAATATTTACCACATCACCAGCTATTTTCTGCTCAGAAAACCACTACCAACTAAAATTTAGTTAAAATATGGACAAGAACTGGAAGCCTGCAAAATGATGCATATTCAGATAAAGCAATACATTATTTAGGAGGGTTATTAAGAAATTTAGCTTTTAGTGTATGGGTAATGGTTTATGCCAAATGGGACACTTATATATATTTCTATATATACTTTTCTTAAACTGTTCTGTAAATTCTTGGAATAGTTCAAATATTAATAACTAGTATTCTTATTTTTTTTCAAGCAATCTATAAAAATATCTTTATGGCTACATTCAAGGTTCTTTTAAGAAAACAGTGGTCAAGAGTGGCTTTTTTTGATAATATAACAAGGTTCTGAATGACAAACAGAAGCACATATAGGAACAGCATATTTCCTAATATTCATTATTACATTTTCATTTTTTTTATATAAATGAATTGTATGTGTCTACAGTGCAAAAAAATTTACACTGGTATTTTATGAACAAGTTATTATCACAAATGCTCACACTGGACATTAATGAATATCACATATCTACTTCTTATAATATTTATTACTTGTGCTATTTCATACACTGTTATTCACCTGGTGTAATTTTTTCTTGCACTGATATCAGCAATAAATTATGGAAAAAAAGCATGAAGCTCTAGTCTTTGGATTAAATCCTTAGTGATACTCATGATTTTAAGCTAATTTATCAACAAGAGGTCCTTTCAACAACAACAAGAACCCTACCAAACACTCAAACATAAACTGTGGACCCTTGAAGCTTTGTTAAACTAGTGCCGTTAAGTTGCAGTTCTTTCTTCTTCTCAGGATCAGTGAAGAGGCGAGGTTTTGACCTCAAGCCCAAAACATTCATCACAAATTTGACAAAGGTTGGCACTGTCATGATGCCATCCCCACAGGGGTTTTCTAGGAGTACAGATGCCTTCTTTCCATTTCCTTCGACATTAACAAATCTGAAACGGAAAATAAGGATTACAATCTGTAACAAATCCTGAACTGAAATAGCATTATCCTTCTCATTCTGTAGCTATGTACATATTATGCAATATCTAAATAATGGAATATACTTAAAGGCAACTAACCTGCTGTATGGCTTGACTGCTGATGTTCCAACAGGGACTTTGTTAGGAGCAGAAGTCACAACAACAGTTTTGCCAGCAAGGTTTTTGATTGAAGTTTTCTCCAAGTCAATCTGCTTTCTCTCAATATGCAACTTGGCATGCTTAAGAGGGAAGCCAAAGATGTTTTGTGCTTCAAGAAGAATATCCTTGCAAGATCTGACAACTGGAGAATTCTGTGGATTTTCAAGTAGCAAAGTTGCACTACAGCTGTTATTGGCAAATCTGGGTGTGCCATCAAGGATGATGTTGACCCAGGGACAGGATAATCCTCCTTGAGCTGCTGGCCCTTCACTCTCCACTGACGAAGCTGTCATGGTCCAACCAGCACAGAAACCTTTAGTGATTATCAACTTCAAATCTGTTTTCTTCACATCTGCAACCTCCTCAATGATAACATCGGTGCTGTTCTTCTCTGATAAGGGTTTGCATGGTGTCTTTGTAGCAGTCTCA